CACTCCTGCTTTCAGAGAACAAACAGTCAGACAGTGGAAGGGAGAAGTCAGAAGAGCTGAATCCTGGGGTCGGCTCTGTTTCTCCGACGCCATCCGACCCCGGGAATGCCGAGTCTCCTGAGAAACTCTGCCGAGACGTACCTGGGGCTCTTCTGCACATTTCAGAGTCTGGAGTCTATCTTTGGAGATGGTTGGCCTGGACCAGGTGACCAGATACCCCTCTTACTCTTGTGAGGTCTGAAAGTGGCCAGAGTGAAGGGCCCGCAGACAGCCCAGGGACGCTCAGTCAGCCTGCTCAGCCCTGAGGCTTCCCAGTATCCTCGGCAGCGGCGACCGCTGTGGCTCCAGCACGGCAGGGCCCCCTCCTGGTCAGGCAGGTGCTGGGAGGCTCCGTGCATTGTCCAATGGTCAGTCAACGGAAAGGTGAGCCATTTGGCCACAAGGGTCCAGCTCCTTAAGGAAACGACCTACTAACTTACTAATACTCCAATTCTACTTACCAGCACCAGTTGAGGAAAAGAAACGGCTCCCTTGCCACAGATACTCTGTGAGCTTCGCCCCAGACACAGTACAGGAGGAGGAGACGTTTTAATGAAGATACGCTTAATTTCCTGAATAGATTAGTATGAGGTCAGGGGGATAAATACATTGAGTCTCTCATCAAGTCAATTGGCTGGGGGCTATTTTACTGCCTAAAGAAGAAAAACATCTGAAAAAACTTACATGACTGTCTTTTTGCTATATAGTAATTCACTGGAACATTCACCACTGCGAAAAGAGGGCTCCTGATGGGACAAAGGGACACAAATGACTAACGGTAGCCTGACGGCTCATTCCACAAATCAAAGAGATCTTGTCAAAGAGCCCCAAGTCAACCCTCCAATTACGGGGAAATGTTCCAGGAAGCGTTCAGCCTGAACACCCAGAGACGCAGGACTTGACTCAGCAGCTGACGAGCCCAACCGGAAGCCTTGTTATAACGAAGAGATCAGAGGAACAAGCAAATGCAGGAACATCACAGGGTAGGAGCCACGGCTCAGAAAAGAAACCTTTGTCAAACACTGAGAAAGGAAGTGAGGACATTCTCTCCGCTTCCATCAGACACAATGGTGGACGGTGTACCTTAGGCCAAAGCGGAAGTTCACTGAAAGCATCACACAAATTAATCGTACGTAATTTACATAGGAAATTATGTTCATCACTTGTATCGTCCTAAGAATAAATCTGTGTTAACAAAAGCCTGTGAGAAGCATGCAGAAAAAACAGAGGAAAGGAGAGAAAGAAAGGTTAATATAAATCTAACCAAGTATTTAACCTGTAACATGCATATGTTAGTAGAAATGCAGTTGATGGAACAGAACTTCCCTAAAACTCAGAAATGTGAGGCTTCACATCTGATTCAGCTAAGAAGAAATCTGATAGCCCCGTGGAAGCATTGATCTCCTTAAAAGAAGGGCAGTACCAGGGCTGGGGGCCCAAAGGGGGTCAAGTTTCATGAGTACTCAGTAAATTTCAGCAATACTTGCAAATGAGGAAGGCAGGTCAAGGTCTGAATGATGGAAGTGCCACTGGGAAGAAACCGACAATGCAGGGGTCCTGGGTTCAGGCTGGCAGGTTCCGCTGTATCTCCTTTTATTTGCTCACAAAAGGAGAACTCGATGAGAAACTTGAGTGCTCAGGCTGGGAGGGACGCCTGAATTCTCTTGTGGGGTTAGCAGGAAGGCAGGCCCAGCGGTCACGGGAGCTAGGGAGGTTCCCAGGAGCCTTCACATTAAATCAGGTGTGAAGAAACCAGAGAAGCTCAGTCTTTAAATAAGAAAGACAGGAGCCACTTGCCACCCGAAGCCAAACCTGGCCAGGAGGAAAGTTATAAGGATGGGCCCCACCGAAGGCTGAAGGAAAACCATGATTCAAGCAAACAATGAGCAAAGTCGAAGACATGAGAAGGACACCCAGGTGTCTACTGCCCTGATTAAATATTGTACACATATTAAATGACACTGTATCCAGCATTTGTAACACGGACTATTATTTACCCTTGAAAGTTTCAATAACTGCATCTGCATTGCAAAAGGATGACGGGGTTGAAAAGCACACTCCGACCTTTATCAAAGCCCAGCACTTACCTGCTGGGGAGGAAATGACCACCCACGGCACTAGATTCGCACATTTAAATCTATAAAGTAGATGTACACCCACCCAAACTTGGCTTGACTGTCCTGCACTTTTTTCCCCTCGATTTGTATCACAGGTCTACAGACGTGTGATGGAAAACAAAATTACTCCAGGAGGAAAACCGTTAAAGATGTACCTGAGCTCCAAGGATGTCTATTCTTCCTCGACGGCAGGCAGAGCCCGCGGTGGGCGTGGGGAGGCTGGGTAAGTGTGCGGACTGGGAGGAGCCTTGCAGTGAGAAAGACGCAGAGCTGGGCCTGCTCTGCCACCAACACATTCTTCACTTAGTGTAATAGACATGGCATTTCCCGGAATGTAACTATTGTGTACGTTGAGGGAAGGTGATACTTTGGGGGGAAACTTTACCAAGAGTCTTCACCCATCTGGAAGAATCATGTCATCAACCCAAGCTGCTCTGGGTGTCGGAGTCTGTTTTAATCCGATTTTATCAGTCTGTGCTGGGCGCTGCATGGCTAGGTCGATGCTCACAGCCTCACACACCCCCCGACTTCACGTGTCTCCTACCCAGAGTGCTTACAGATTGAGGTACTGATCACCTGTAAATTGCCTTCTTTTATCCCCCCACCCTCCCATACTGCATCAGGGCATTCAGAATTACATACATTGGTGACATACTACCTTTGCATTTCAGTTCAAGGCATTACAAAGCACTCGTTACAAACAGGGGGTGCCAGGGCCAAAGTTTTGCACCTGCTGGCCTAGCAGCCTGGACTTGGGCCAGTCTCTAGGCTCCTGGACCTCTTGTGCTACATGAATAAAGAGAGGTTTGGTTCCATGATGAAGCGACTGAGGGCAGGAGGCTGTCTGGGGCCGGGGATGTGGATGAACCACAGTCTGAGCGGGAACAGGCCAAGGGTAGTGGGTGCATCATAAGCCAACCTCCTTCCCCCGCCTGCACACCCCTTGCCCCATCTCACACATATCTGAGGTTACAGCAGCAACTTCAGGGTGCACGTCAGCCTCTTGATCGCAACCAGGAGTTCCATCGGGAATTTCAACGATAAAAGGTTGTCAACACACTGACTCCCACATTAAGCCATTGATTCCTTGAAGGAGGGGCCAACCAGATATCACGGTAGCCCCGGAGGCCCACAGAGCACCAGCCCCCACTCCCCTCCAGCTGGAAACCCAGGGGACCACTCCTCTCTGTGCCACCAAAACGGAGACCAAGACGCACGGGGAGGAGGTAGGCGGGCGCTTCTGTGTAAAGGATCCTGCCTCATTAACAGGACTTTCAGAAGCTTCTCAGTTGTCACTTTTCCTCCTGTGTGTCCTTTCTTTTCTTCCCCAACTAAAGTCAGGGTTTATTCCCCCAAACAAAAGATTGAGGGTGAGGAAAGCGAGAAAGGAAAGACACAAGGAGGATTTGCAGCAGGGAAGTGTGATGTAGCAGTGCCTGACCCTAAAAAGCTAAGTCCGTGTCAGCTTGCCTGTGTTAGCTGTGGAGTCCCCACCTTAGCGTCACAACAACAGATGGGAAGTTAAAATGCGCAGAGCATTAAGGCAGCAACAGGTACCAACGACAGTGACTCTGACCCCACGGGCTCCTCCAGAGGTGACCAGTGACACACACGAGGACCCAGTGGCTCTCCTGGGGGCCCACCCAGAGCTCCCGGAGCCCAGGGTCCCAGGGGCCCAGGCCTGCACTGTGCAGAGCTGGCCTCATTCCAGAGACCTCCATCCAGGCTCCACTCTTTCTCCCAACCCCGCCTACAACTGCGGAGCCCCGTCACAGGCCTGAACGCTGGGTGCTCACAACACATCCTGTCCAAATGGGTCATGGATTTCTCTCTCCAGGCACATC